TGATTTTGCAATCTTTGGTCAGAGCTCATCTGAGTGTGGAAGTAGTGAATGCAAAAAGTGGCTAAGGTCAATGATCACTGGTTATGTTTTCCTGATTTTAAAATTTAGTTTTGGTTTAGAATGAAAGGTTACTCATTGCTGAAAGTGAAATGCTGGCATGGTTGACTTGGAGTCACTAGTAAGGGTGGAAAAATGATTTTTTGTATGAATTTTATAGGAACTTATGGAGGCAATGAGCAGATGCATGCAGAGAATGGAGATTAGCATGAGGCTTCATGTGAGCATATGGGAAGTCAGCATAGTTAGGGTTGGGGGTTTTGGGTTTATAGTTTTGCCAAGAAAGTTGTTAGGAACGGTCAGCATGAGTCTTATCACTGTGATATTGGCAAATGGCGAGAGATGTGTGAGGCTATCGCCAGTTCCCTGGATCATTATGGCCACTGCCATACCAGGAAGGTGCATTTAGATCCAAGAACCATATCTTTTAATATGGAATTAAGTGGCCTTACTTATTTCATTCACTAAGATTTCCCTCAATTTGGGATGTGGGAGAGTTACATTTGCATTTCATCAGATTCTTCCCTTATTGGAGTTTGCCAACAATCATCTACCTTAACTGTGTAAAGTAATGAAACCCAACAGACTGGTAGCCAGTGACTTTTTATGGGGGCAGGGGAGAAGCAGCCCCCCTGGCAGCCTTTGAAAGTGCCCAGTTCCCCATTTTAGGAAAATTAAAAAAATTTAAAAAAGCCATTGAGAATCTTCTCTCACTTCCCCCTGCCTTTCCTTGACACTCCCATTCTGCTACCCTGCCCCCTTTGGCTCATGAGCAAAAATACACCCCTGCTGGTAGCTTACACTGCCACACTTTTGGCCAGTATTAAGCTAACTAATACCTGTTAGAACCAGCTCATTTTTCAGTTCTTAGATGGAGGGAAAATTTTCAGGCAGTTGAGATCCCTGAGGATTGGACCAAAGTGATTTGCAAGGTTTTTTTGTTGTATTTAAATGATTTACTTGGTCCTGTAGAACAGGCTTTCTATTACCTACTTTCATATTTCCTGTTTTATTATTGTAGAACCTATGGGAAAATTTTCAGTAAAGTTGGGTAGGTTGATTCTTCAAGATTGAAGGGCGTCAATAACCTCATTTAAATTATGAATTTGGTTTTGACATGCACATACTGATTCAATTGCAACAAAAAAATTAGATTGAATTGTCATAGGTAGCTGAAATGGTTACTATTAAAAAAATTTAAAAAAGCCATTGAGAATCTTCTCTCACTTCCCCCTGCCTTTCCTTGACACTCCCATTCTGCTACCCTGCCCCCTTTGGCTCATGAGCAAAAATACACCCCTGCTGGTAGCTTATACTGCCACACTTTTGGCCAGTATTAAGCTAACTTATACCTATTAGAACCAGCTCATTTTTCAATTCTTAGATGGAGGGAAAATTTTCAGGCAGTTGAGATCCCTGAGGATTGGACCAAAGTGATTTGCAAGGTTTTTTTGTTGCATTTAAATGATTTACTTGGTCCTGTAGAACAGGCTTTCTATTACCTACTTTCATATTTCCTGTTTTATTATTGTAGAACCTATGGAAAAATTTTCAGTAAAGTTGGGTAGGTCGATTCTTCAAGATTGAAGGGCGTCAATAACCTCATTTAAATTATGAATTTGGTTTTGACATGCACATACTGATTCAATTGCAACAAAAAAATTAGATTGAATTGTCATAGGTAGCTGAAATGGTTACACAATTGTTTAAAGGTTGATTCTTGATGGAAGTTATGTCCTTGTGCTATGTAATCTACACAAGTGATGAAAATTTGGCTTTAGCTATATCTTCTGGATATACCCAGTCATCAGATCCTTGGTAATTATAAAAATCAAAAAGCTAGAAAAGCAAAATTTTAAAAATAAAAAATAGTTTCCCAAAGTTGAAAATGAACTGTGAGCAACAGGCATTGAACTCCAGGAATTGAAAATTGACCATGGCCACATCTAATTATATTATAGTGAATAATATTAGGGTAAATGTTTCAACATGGTCATGTCATTTTGATTGGGGTTTTTTTTTAGGTGAAAGCTTGTGAGTAAATAGGTACTAATGGATCTGTTGATTAAGCTATTCTTTACTATAAATAGACATTGTGAAGGCAATTTATCATTATCTCACATCCTGAAAAATAGGATTCAATGGTGCTAAAAAGGTCACTGTTGCATTTCCTTGGAGGAGTCCTTGTCACTAAGCACAAAAGAGCATTTGTTAGTATTGTGGTCAGATTGAAGCACAGTATGTGGAAGCCTCCTGAGGATGTGAGAGGCATGATGAAGCTCAATCGAGATGCGTTCACAACTCAAGTCACTGCTCCTGGCATTAATTTGTTGGAAGAGTATATTCAGAAAGTTTTGCCTCTTGTGAAACCAGTGCTCCTGAAGTTATACAATTTCAAGCCCATTGATCCAGTAGTGAACAATGGGAAGAAAAGAATTTGGCTGGATCCAGAGAAATTCAAGGACTCTGCAGATATGGTTCTGAAGAAATTATTGACATGTGGCATAGATGGAATGGCTGTGAGTTATGAGAAACTCACATTAACATATGACAATTGGAAGCTGCATGAGATTCTTCAAGCTGTTCTACCTGATGATAAAGAGGTCATCTCTTCGTATTCCTTGGTTGGGCACATTGCACATGTGAATCTCCGAGATCATCAACTCCCCTTTAAAGACCTCATTGGACAGGTAGTCTTGGATAAACTCAAGAATGTCAGAACTGTTGTCAACAAGGTCACAGTGATTGAAAATACATTTAGGAACTTTGCCATGGAAGTTCTGGCAGGTGACAATGAGACCCAAGTCTGTGTTAAGGAAAACCATTGTAGTTATGAATTTGATTTTGCCAAAGTCTACTGGAATCCACGATTATCAACGGAGCATGAGAGGTTGGTGGAAATGCTGAAGCCAGAAGACGTCTTATGTGATGTTTTTGCTGGAGTGGGACCATTCGCCATTCCTGCTGCCAAAAAGGGTTGTACTGTGCATGCAAATGATCTGAACCCAGAGAGTGTTAAATGGTTGAAACGCAATGTTGATCTCAACAAAGTGCAGAAGAAAGTTTCTGTCTATAACTTGGATGGACTGAATTTTATCACAGACATTGTCAAGTTTCTCCTTGTGAAGTTCCTTAAAGAGCACCCTGGAACTGTAGTGGGGAAATTCCACATTGTCATGAATCTTCCTGCCATGGCTGTGGACTTCTTGGATGCATTCAAAAATTTGCTCTGTGATGACAATGACCTCAATGACTCCATGTTCAGCAATATTGTAATTCATGTATATTGCTTCACAAGGGAAGCAGATAAAACAGCTGCAGCCACTCTAATGGTAGAGGAAAAGCTTGGGTGTCAACTCAACACATTCTCCAAAGTTCGCTTTGTACGAAATGTTGCTCCAGGGAAAGATATGATGCTTGTTTCATTTTGCATTCCTCGGGAGGTTTTGACATGTAAAGACACTGACCCCTCACCTCCCAAGAAGATGCGTTCCTCATGATCACTAAGTGCTTCTTTGTGCAGCATTAGCCTATCATCATTACTGATATTTTTCAATGGGAGCCATTGACAAAACTGCTCACCATCTTTACTCAGGCATTGGAAGTACCTTGATACAAGATATTTCATAATTCCTGATGTGTTTTCTCTTGGATCTTTCATGAACTATCTACTGCCAAAGTTCATTGATTTGTGATTGTTCAGATGACAGCAGTTTACTTTGGCATCCCATTTCATAGTTTTATGAATTTGTGTTGTTACTGAATAAATGCATGTGGACATTGAACTTTTCCCCCTTAGATGAAGTGTTGAAAGAATTGGGACTGAAAAGTGACGTGCCAAAGAGTGGAAAGCACTTTCACCCATATAAACCTAGTAGTGAGATGGGCAAGGCATTCCTTCCTATTCACCTCCGTTCGTCTGTGCCCACTACTGAAACAAATCCCAGCAAATCATTTCCTGACATCACCTTTCCTCCCTCACCCCTTGATATCCTCAAGAAACGTAATGTAACCCTTCCACCTGAACCACTGGTAGCCAAAGAACTTTTGAACTGTGTGAATGGCAAGGAGCCTTGTCCAAAGTGTGGAAATGTGAAAGGTGGCAAAATGAAGATGTTGCGCATTGACTACTATTTTGTGACAAAAGTCTGCAGCAATACCGAAGTGAGTTGGATGTTCAGTCTATATTGGGTTCTTTTTACAGTTTTTCAGATAATTAATTTTTGGTACCCTTGTTAGGTTTCCTTCATAGCCACTTGTAATTGTGGAATGTAATTATTCCACTGAATGGATTTGAGCAACTAGCCTCTTCTTTGATTGCATAATGGTATTGACAGCATCAACTAGAATGGGGTGTCAAGTTGGTGGCACACAGGCCAGATCCAATCCACCAATTAATTTTGTCTAGCCTGTGAAGTGCTTTTCAGCATTTGGTGTCAGAAAAGTGAGCTGAATTTCCTTACCCAATGGGTTCCATCTGGTCCCCCACTGCCTAATCAAGTTTGACACTCCATTAATAAAGTAAAGCAAAATTCATATCACCTCATTTAGACAAGAAGTTTTTTGAATGCTTTGCAAAGAACTTTTCAGTATTGAAATAGATTATCACCTAGACAGACTTAGTGCCTGGAAAATGTTTAAGTAGAAAGGTGAAAAACTGATTTTAGATTCAGTGGTTGTTCAACATGAGAGCTTAGTTATAATTATTCAATGAAATAGGAATATTTTGTAATTGAAGTTTAAGAACTTGAAGAGGTCTCTGTAGCCTAAGAATGTAGAAGAANAATTACTTCTTTACTAATGCATTTGACAGAATGTTCCCTCTTTAATTTATTGATTTCTTTGTGGCTAATGTTTGTATAGCTCACTGAGACCCCTGTCTCTGAACCTAGTAGGTGCTTTCTATATGAATATGGTTGAAGGAGGTTGAGGTTTGTCACTTCCTTGTCTTGTGAAAAGGAGAATTGACTGCCTCATCATGAAAAGACAAAGTTAATGAGTTAACCCTAGAGACTATATCTTTGTCCTATATTACAAAAATTATAACAAGGTTGGTCTCTTGTCATTCTTTATGTAAGAAAAATCATAATCGTACATTGGAAGCCAAAATTCAGCTACCAGCACTAGTGTTCAGGTTTCTTTTTTACTTGCTTTGAATAATGTAAATGTGTTAGATGAAGGTTCTTCACCGCCAATCAGGGCCAAAGTTTTTATAAGTTATTCTTTGTGACATTGACTAAGAATTAAAAAAAGAAACAGAATACTCTATGCAGGGCATCAAAAGAGTGTAATATGAAGCAATATGAAAGTACTGTATGCCAGAGTATGATTCAAAGTGCTGTGATGCATAGAAATTAGAGGTAAATGTCTTACCCATTTGAACTTGAATTTTCAGTGTTACTGGCCCTTGCCTACTGGGAAGGTCCAACTGTGGAAAAGCAAGATGGCCTTGCCTGCATCCCTGCCAAAGCGTTTCCATCTGGGTAAACTGTATCAATGTGAGTTTTTGTGTGCATTTTTTCCTGTCAGTTATTGTTTACATAGGTTAATTGATATCTTGTCTCAAATGCATCAACCCTTGCCTTACGTCTTCTCAGCACTTTTGTACATATAAAATTGTACTTTACCAAATCATCTGAAGTAAGTTTTCCCATGCTCAATTCATCTCAGCAGAGTTAGGGATAAAGTGAGTTTAAACATCAAAGCACAGAGAGAAAGTAAGTTTCCCCCCGAGAATCTTGGTAAGTTTCAGGCTGCTAATCTTGGTTTGTTTTTTTTTTTTCCCACTATCTCCATTGCAGACAAAAAGGGCAGACCATACTCTCGAGGACAAGGGAATTGGGCATCCCTGCAGAGGCTTAGTAAGAAGACCCCCACTTCTGAAAATGGTCTTTGTTCTCAGTTCTCAATCTATCGGGGTACCAGTATGGAAATTCCCTTCTGGTTGAGTTTGATTGGTGATAGCATGATTCCAAATACAGGTACATTTTCTCTACTCATTCCAGGGGACCCTTCTGCTCAGTCACTTTGTTTTGGTGCACTCTGTAACATAGTTGTCACTATCTTGCAACTGGCTAATTTTATACATTACTTTAAATTCCTGTGGGCATCTCTTGGAGCTGAGGCATTGATCAAAACTGACTCATTTGATTTGTCTCATGAGGTAATGAGATGGAAGTGAATGAGCAGAGGATGTCCTCGGTCTGAAGTGTTTTAAAATGTCTGTCAACCCCGTAGCAAGTTTTAAACAAAGCCTCTGCCACAGACTCATTGATTGAACCTCATACCATGTGAAGTATATAGTGCTGGCTGATGATACCTTCATTGGAAAGCTAGCCACTTCATGTGAACCGGAAACCAGAGTGATATGAGAGTCTCGGCTTGAGGTCTCGCTTGAGAATGTTCATAATTTCATTTGGTCTCAATAAATACAATCTGAGGGCTGCCAGGATATGATTGATTGGATCACCAATCAAATTCTGAGAATCAGCTAGACTTAAGCCTGGCATGTTACATGGATTTTTCTTTTGTTCTTAAAATAGGCTTATGTGTAAATGTAAGTACATGTGAGAGAGTGGGTGTGCTTTGGCAAGCTATAGTCCTAGCAGCTTTATTTACTAAATTGTGGTATGTGCATATCTATGTCTTGCAATTGAGTTGAATCACTCAAACCATGAGAAATTTGCTTGGATTTATTCATTGCTCAATTCATTGCATAAAGAAATATAATAGCTGTATAGGACAAGCTTCCTAATAGATCTTTCAGTCTAAATTTTGTGCCTCGTTTAAAGTTATCCTTATGCAGGTAAGGTCAACTTTATCTAAGCCTGTCTGTGTATAAGAACTAGGCAGCAGTCATTTTCAGACTTTGGTAGGAAATCACAGAACCATGACTTTTCCGGCATTATCAGCCAAAACCACAACCACAGTAGTCTATCTTCAATTAAAGCATAGCAAGTCAAAATGGGTCTCATAATATGTCTCTCCCCCCTCTCCCCCCCCCTCTCTCTTTCTCTCTTTCTTTCCCTCTCCCTCTCTTTCCCCTTCATTCCCTACTTCTCCTTTTTCTGTGGTGTATCTCTCCATGTACCAGTCCAGGGGTATAGCTAGTGTGCATTCTTGCTTATGGTAGTCATTCATTAATGAATCTCTTGGATGCACTGTCATTGCTTCTTATGCACTATGAGTTGCTTGGTGCACACAGATAGAAAACAAGCAGTAATGCTTCTTTCTTGATGTGTCATCCAAGAATGTGTATGTATGCCAACTTTTCAGAGAGTGCCCTTTCAAGACATGGAAATGAATATATATATATTATTTTTTATTTATTTTGCTGTCTACTTATGAATAAGTTCATGGATGAAAACTGATAAGTGATTGTTTCAGTCACTGTATTTGAATCAAGTTGGAGAGGCATGACACCTGTTTTCTTTTCTAAATTCAGATCCAGTTCCTGAATGGGCATCTACTTCAAGTGATAGTTATCTGACTATGCCATCTCCAGCAATGAGTGACTATCATCAGCCTCTCTCTATTTCAAGTTCACATGGAATTGCCGAATCCTTGCCTTCTCCAGCAACACCTAGTGGATTTGAACCATTGCCTTCCCCAGCACCATCAGGCATTGAACCCTTCCCCTCTCCAGCTACAACTGGAAGCTTTGAACATTCAATGTCTGCTCTGACAATGACCACAACTAGTCCTGAAGAATCTGATTTGGATCAGCTGATCAATGAATGGCTCACTCCAAATGACAGAAATCGAACACGGGTGCCTTCTGGTGATGTGTCAGCCCTGGATGACCTTGGGTACTTTCTCGGTATTTGTGATGACCACAACGCTTCAAATCCGGTGTCCTCTTCTGCACAACTGATGCAAGTATTTGATACCACTGTGTTTCATAGTGCAGCTGAAAGCCCAAATTCAAACAGTCAAAGTCAAACAACCTCAAACAGTCCTGGTAGTATGATAATGGACAGTGAAGAGAACACTCAAGATTCTTTGCTCCTTACTTCTGCTCAAGTACAAGATGATCAGTCAGAGTCACAGCAGACCAGTGAAAATCTAGATGAGACAGATTCAAATGAGAGAAGTGGAAGTCCAGCAGCAGTGGCAGGTGCTCTAGAATCTGACATTCCCCCATCCAACTCTGTTATCCTACCTGAGGACATTGAACGCATAGAAAGGGCAGAGATTCCACCATATACATATGTGGATTCAGAAGATGTGGCCCTACTGGAGGAGTCAGGACACAGTGTGATCTCAGTGTTTGAGAAGCGGGTTAAAGCCTACCGAACCATGCAGATGGTGGATGAAGCCAAGAAATATGACCCGTATATGCCAGGTATAAGTGTTGGCACCAAACCTCCAAAGTACAAACCCAGAGTGCATTCAAGAAAGAAGAAGTCTTCAAGTTGAAGCCTTCTTGGCACCTGCCTTATTGCAGCATTAAGATGATCTGGCGTCAATACTGTGATTCTGTCAATTCATGAGGTTCCATGCTCTTCATGGCATGATTTGGCAATGCTGTTGTTTTTTCAGTCACTGAATCTTGTTTTTCAGAGAGCTAGTTCAAAGAAAAAATTATCAAGTTCATCTGGTTTGCATCTGCTTTTTTCTCTATTTTGCATTTTTATGAGAAGTCTAGAGGACAAACTTTTGGCACAAAGGGGGAGACCTTAGCACCAATGGTACCCCTGGGTTGGCAATTGCCATACCTAGTTATTCAGTCAATGCTACTATTGTCCCAATAGCAAATTGTGGATGAAAAAAAAGCTCTAGAGGAAAGGGTTCACCTCATCTGTTCCCTTGCAGCTGGTCATTTCCAGTACAGTAATGACTATTTTATGTGTTGTGTTCGAGTAATAGTGACTCTCAAGCATCACATATTTCAATACCATATCCATACACTTGGTGGATGTGATAGACATTTGCATTTCCCTATGTAAAGTTATCATTAAAATACTTCCCAGGTAGAATACTCTTATTTCAGTCTTTCTCACCCCCCCCCCCCCCTTTTTTTTTTCTTCTTCAAATACTGACTATAATGAGTAGTGAATGTTCTATCTCCAAGGAGAAGAAATGGTAAGCATTACAAGTTGGGTGTCATTCCAAGCCAGGTGTAGCACACAAGTTAACTTTCATTAGGTGGCTTTGATCCTGGACTGGAATGTTTGGATTTGAACCCAATCCAGCTTATATCAAAATGGAACCATTCCTCACCTGGAGGAGATCACATTGATTGAGTATGGTACTGTGCTATGTTTCCAGGTGCCATGCAGTTCGGAGAACATTGTCTCTTTTTATAGTCAGTATAATCAACTTAGCTCTCTGTATCACTTGGAGGTTTTATTGTTTGAAAATGACAAGCATAAATCTATCCCATAAGTCAAAGAAACCCTCACTTTGTTACCATTTCCTCTTGAAATATATTTAAATTGCCATTTTGTAAGTGCTGTTTGGAGCGAGACATTATCTTGTTGGCATTTTATTTTTTGAGAATTAAAAAAAATTGATTGAATTCATCAAATAAGATAAATAGTAAAAAAGGCCTCATATGAAGTACATCCAAATGTACGTGGTGGTTTTTATACATTTAACTGTAACTTCTATCCAAGTAGCTAGGAATGGGGAAAGTTGGGAAGTCACAAACATATATGTGAAATTTATACCCACCTAGTCATAGTACTATAGCAACATGACAACATATGGTGTACAGCAGAAAGTGTTCAATGGGAAATGATTTATCTAAAAGGCAATGAATTCAGGGTTTTTTTGGAGCAGTAGTTTCACTATGAATATTGAAATGTAGCTCTTGGAAAGCAGAACACTTTGCAGCTGGTGAAGCAATTTGAATCCATGTAGATATATTTCTGGGACTGCTGTAAGGATAGTGTTAGAGAAGAACCCCCACACAATTGTGGAATTCTTGAGAAAAGTAGTGGGGAGATGTTTAACATTTCCAAAAATATGCTGCAGACAAACTTGCTCCTTGTGTTTATTGTGCATTACTGAACTGGGAGGCAAACAACTATATATTCACTAAGCATTCAGTTTTCCATATGAACTTGTGACTCGTTCTAGGTTTTCCACACCTTGCTTCAACATTACTTCAGTTATGCCCTCTCCAAATGGGATGATGTTTTAAAAAGTTACCTTATGCAAGCAATGATGCAAAATGAAATGTAGCACAAAGAGGATGAGTTGATGGAATTGAGGCTCATTTATCACATTGCAAGTATTTTTTCTTTGCTTTTGCATATTTCAATATTTATACTTTTCAATCATTAACTTTTTAAGGAGTGGCTAAGGACATCCATGGATTCTATAGATTGACTTATTATTTCTTAAAATTTTTGCTGCTGTTATGAGCTTGATTCTGAGTGGGACGAACAGAGAGCTCAAAAAATGTTTAATATGCATATTAAGTGATGTCTCCTTTGCTTAGCAAACTGTGAACAAGTTTAGTTAGATATGTCTATCATATGCTACTATGCTCTTATAGATGCACTCAGGTGAAAGATTCCTGCATAAGGGATGTTCCCTGTGGATCATGCCATCTCTGCAATACTGATAAGTGATGTGGAGGCTCAATGATGGAAAAACAAATAAGACCGAGTGACTTGTAGAATGAAGTGAGAAGTCCCAATTGAGAAGCAGTTCCATCCCGAACATGTACTTCCCCGTCGGGTGGCCAAAATCCCTGAGGACAATCAAGGGGAAGGACTCACAACTTGTGGCCATTGCTTGCAATAGAGACCGCTTCCTCTTCTCCCTTGTATACAACAATGCCATTGAGATCTGGTTTTACAAGGTCAGACTGCATTTTTGTCATGATAAAAAATGTGGTCATTAGTCAGTGACAATAAACTTATTAAAAAGTTTAAAATAGGAAGCTCACAGAAGAGTATGAACAGAAAGAGAAATGTGCCCTGTTTTGATTCTCCCTTTCATTTGGGAATTCATTGGGAATTATGGGAATGCTTATTGAGGCCTATCAGGTTGTGCAACTTGTTCCAGAGATTTTAAATGCATGAATTTGTCATGTGCTTGCAGCCTTGTGTGCCTCTTGTCTGCTATCAGCTCCCTCAAGACCTGCAGACTTTGTATGGTGATTTCCATCATGTTGAATGGAGGCCTGATTCTTCTGCCATTGCTGTCACTGTAAGTCATGTCTAGAGTTAATTTGAAATGTCTCTGAATGGGGTTTCATTTTTTCTCTCCATATCTCTGATAGACCATGCATGGCTACCTGGTGTTCTTTAACCTGTTTCTGAAAAACAAAGAGGAATTGGTCTACATGCAGCATGACAGCCAACAACCAGGGCTGAAGCGTCAGTCATGTGAGCTCTATGGACGAGATGAGGTCCCGTCAATTTCTATCCGGCTGGTAAGTTCTCACTCGGTTGAATTGAATTTCCTACAATGCATTTTCAGGTGTTCTTTAATTTTTTTTTTTTTCTTCATAGGAATGTTCTGTGATGGTCCCTGGATCTGTGACTGGTCTGGTGTGCCTCAGAGATGAGTTGATGGTTGCTACTGGAAATGCTCAAATTCACCGCTATCTCTGGGATGGTTCCATCAATCGGGACTATTCCTTAGATCTCCGACGCATTCCTTTCTGTGTTGACAAGCAGGTTGGTGAACCACTCCGAACAAAAGAAAATAGATACGGTACTCTCATTGAAAAACACCTCGGAACAATACTCGATCTCATAACACAGTATATGGTGAAACTAGGTAAGAACAATAAGATACATAAGTCTCAATGAGGTTCTTCTTTCATTTTGATATTCGATGAAAATTTAACTAATTTAGGATGGGTCCCTGAGAATTATTTGTTTTTCTAAGTAGATGTAAATGACAAGATCCTAGTAGTCTCCATGTTTTCTCTGCCAGCTGTGGATGTGGTGTTAGGGTCTATTTGTTTGCATTTTTTTAATAGTATGCTGGCTTGCTTGTGAAAACTGAAATTTCCAGGGAGTAATACATGAATGATTTCTCATCAAATCAAAGAGTGCAGCCAACTGCCCATAGGCGATGTGCCCCATTTTTTAGGCCGTTGAATTTATAGTCAAACTTGGTATCAAATTAAAGATCTCGTCGAGCTGATTACGAATATATAGGTTTCAAGATCTAGTCTTTTACCGTTGCAGAGAAAG